TGTCCCTCCCTCCCACGGCCTCACTAAACCATAATATATTCCTCACAAAATGCCCTTACTTATATAATATAATCCAAATTTCTTACATTTCCTGTACTGGCGTATTACGTCGTTTTAATATTCATGAGATATTCTTGTTCTTCAGCGATATATGCGAAGAGCTGCAATTGCATATATGATTTTCAAAAGAATAAATAAGCGTAACATAAATAATAATAGCTCTCGAGGTCTTTTATATTTTTTTGGGAAGAATTATTCAAAGAATGTGTCATATCTTCGCCCGCTCTGATAACTTGTTAAGAAGTGTCAAGATCATAATATCGGCAATGGACACTGAGTGAGTTTGCGTAGTAGCTGCCTATCCGGCCACCATTTTGGCTCAGGTGGAAAAAAATGATTATCAGCGTTAACTTACTAAAATAATATAGTTTCATATGCAGAAACACTTACGTAACATTTTCCATCTTACCTATCATCATTGCCGAGGCAAGTCAACATTACGGATACCAAATATATATAAATAAAATTATTCATATTTCTAATTTTGTTATAGCAAAAATTGGATATATCCGTATTGTGCAGCTGCCTTGACCTGTACCTCGCTTTACAAGGTTACACCATTATCTGTCTATGTTGACCTAACACACCCATCATGCAAAATGATTTATCATCTCCTTTTAATTGCCCAAAACTGAATATATCTAGCTATATTATGCGGCTACTCTAATCAAGTTGGTTATTTTGATAGGTTTTCTTAAGTACCCCATTACCATCCTGAGGTGGTACTCAACAAGCACATGATCTATAAGACTTTATTTATGTTATTTATGTTTATAAGGACAAGGTTAGATCAATACCTAACTATATATTTATCTAACTCACCCATATCATACACGATATGTTCCATACCTGGAGAGGGTTACAGGGGTCAACGCCCCCGCAGCCCGGTATGTGACCAGGCCTCGCGGTGGATCAGGGCCTGTTACTGCTGGCCGCATGTACCAGTAAAATCTGTTAGGGTAAATTGCGCTGTGTTACAGTTTTAAATGGCTGGCGTATCAGTAATCACAGATTTAGTGAGAGAAATATATATCTTTATTTCTACAAGTACATGTACAGTGTATACAGGTCTAGTTGACATCAATGACATACTACTATATAGAAAGCCGCTTTTATGTAGAGCATTTCGGGTAAATTAGGTCAGTTTTGTCCCAGGATGCCACCCACCCAGTCGACTAACACCCAACTACCCATTTTACTGATGGGAACACAGACAACCGGTGTAAGGAAACGCTCCCTATGTTTCTACCCTCGCCGGGAATCGAACCCGGACACTCACCGTGTGAAGTGAGGGCTTTAACCACCAGGCCACGGGTGATAATCAATAATCGCGAACAAGCGATACAAATGCAAAACAGCCACGGAAAGGAGCTGAATGATAGCTGTAGGCCTTTCCTGTTGCAGTTACATCAAGGGCTTGCAATGTTGCAGAAATGAAAAGATGTCCAGATAGATCATATATACCTGGAGAGGGTTTCGGGGCAGGGGAGTCAACGCCTCCGCAGTCCGGTCTGTGACCAGGCCTCTTGGTGGATCAGGGCCTGATCAACCAGGCTGTTACTGTTGGCAACACGTAAATCGACATACGAACCACAGCCCGGCTGATCAGGTACTGACTTTAGGTGCCTGTCCAGAGCCTTCTTGAAGATAGTCAGGAGTCTATTGGTAATCCCCCTTATGTATGCTGGGAGGCAGTTGAACAGTCTTTGGCCCCTGATACTTACTGTGTTGTCTCTTATCGTGCTAATGGCGCCCTGACTTTTCATTGGGGAGATGCTGCATCGTCTTACCTGGAGTTTACCTGGAGAGAGTTCCGGGGGTCAACGCCCCCGCGGCCCGGTCTGTGACCAGGCCTCCTGGTGGATCAGAGCCTGATCAACCAGGCTGTTACTGCTGGCTGCACGCAAACCAACGTACGAGCCACAGCCCGGCTGATCCGGAACTGACTTTAGGTGCTTGTCCAGTGCCAGCTTGAAGACTGCCAGGGGTCTGTTGGTAATCCCCCTTATGTGTGCTGGGAGGCAGTTGAACAGTCTCGGGCCCCTGACACTTATTGTATGGTCTCTTAACGTGCTAGTGACACCCCTGCTTTTCATTGGGGGGATGGTGCATCGTCCGCCAAGTCTTTTGCATTCGTAGTGAGTGATTTTCGTGTGCAAGTTCGGTACTAGTCCCTCTAGGATTTTCCAGGTGTATATAATCATGTATCTCTCCCTCCTGCGTTCCAGGGAATACAGGTTTAGGAACCTCAAGCGTTCCCAATAATTGAGGTGTTTTATCTCCGTTATGCGCGCCGTGAAAGTTCTCTGTACATTTTCTAGGTCGGCAATTTCACCTGCCTTGAAAGGTGCTGTTAGTGTGCAGCAATATTCCAGCCTAGATAGAACAAGTGACCTGAAGAGTGTCATCATGGGCTTGGCCTCCCTAGTTTTGAAGGTTCTCATTATCCATCCTGTCATTTTTCTAGCAGATGCGATTGATACAATGTTATGGTCCTTGAAGGTGAGATCCTCCGACATGATCACTCCCAGGTCTTTGACGTTGGTGTTTCGCTCTATTTTGTGGCCAGAATTTGTTTTGTACTCTGATGAAGATTTAATTTCCTCATGTTTACCATATCTGAGTAATTGAAATTTCTCATCGTTGAACTTCGAGTCTTTTGCTTTCGTAGGAGTTTACCTGGAGTTTACCTGGAGAGAGTTCCGGGGGTCAACGCCCCCGCGGCCCGGTCTGTGACCAGGCCTCATGGTGGATCAGGGCCTGATCAACCAGGCTGTTACTGCTGGCTGCACGCAATTCAACGTACGAGGTAGTGATATTCGTGCGTAAATTTCGTACTAATCCCTCCAGGGACTCCAGGGAATACAAGTTGAGGAACTTCAACCGTTCCCAGTAATTTAGATATTTTATCGTACTTATATGTGCCGTGAAGGTTCTCTGCACATTTTCTAAGCCAGCAATTTCACCTACCTTGAAAGGTGCTGTTAGTTTTACAGCAATATTCTAGCCTAGATAGAACAAGCGACCTGAAGAGTGTCATCATGGGCTTGGCATCCCTAGTTTTGAAGGTTCTCATTATCCATCCTGTCTACGGAAAATTTATAGGAGTGATTACTTGTACATACCTCAACATTACATGCATACGAGTAATCTCCTTGGGAGACAACAACGATACTGTTTACCGTAGTCACCCATGTAGACATGTGAGAAAACTTAACCACCTCTGGTCACTGCAGGTGGCCCCTCGACCCTCACAATCTTATCCATATCTATCCGAGACCAGTATAAATTGGGTAGCACCCTCAAGTACGGCGCAACTAATTAAATGTGGACTGTATAGACTATATTAGTTTAACTGAATGAAGGGGGGGGGGTAAGTTACACATGGATATACCCATCAAGGAAAAAACACTTGTACATAATCCCACCACTTACCAGATATTCTCTGGTGGTCACTTGATGTGGCTGGATCACCCATAACCTATCCAATTAAAACATACCTAATTGGCCAGTATCAGTCTGCTATAACTAGAAAGGTTACTTAACTGTGGGTGATTGATGCTCCTTATTTCCTCCATTCACCATCTCTTTTCTATGTCCTGCTACACCGACACGGTTCTTATTCCAGCAGGAGGAGGTATCCGTTGGTTTGTCCCGGTTTAGAAGTCGTGATTCCATAAAACTTCGCTATCCTCGGGACGAGAACCACATTCAAAACACTCCCGCCACCTCGTGCCCCAGTTCGACCTATACCCCCGCATATCTGCGCAGGCACAGCGGGAACCCAGTTGGTTCCATTCAAAATACAAATACTTTTTGACCCAAATCAACACATTAAACACTTATTAGGCACTATAGCTTCGGAAATCAAATAATTTCTACACTGTCATTTTCCTAGCGGATGTGATAGATACAATGTTGTAGTCTTTGAAAGTGAGATCCTCTGACACACACACACATACAATACACAATATTGTTTCAGTATACATATCTATACGACACTGCACAGTTCATTACGATGCCTCAAAAGTTGATGTATTCACTGTGCAGAATACCACTCTGCCTATTACTGAGTTAATTTAAATAACGTCCTGAAAGTATTTAACCAAGATAGGACTCGTAGGAATAGATTTAAGGTGGACAAAGTTAAGTTTAGAAAGGATAAATGGAAGTACTGGTTTGGTAATAGAGTTGTAGATGAGTGGAATAAACTCCCAGGAAGCGTCACTGAGGCGAGAACTTTGGGTAGGCCTTAAATATAGGTTAAATGAGTAGTGTGAGTGTGAAATGGCCATGTTTGCTTAGAATTTTCCCTGTTCTAAATATTGGTTAGTCACTTGAAGTTGTTCAAAATCCTTGCTAAAATATAAAGTAATATAAATAATTTAAAAAAACCATATATAAGCTATACTTTAATATTTTTGTAAATTTATGTCTGCCTAAATAACTCATGAAACGACTGTATCCAGATATAAACATGTTAATAGTTCACTACCACTGTAATTTGATCAGCTATCAAAGTTTAGCGTCCCAGTTTTTGTACCAATTACGTGCCTCTATCATCTTTAAACTACATCCCTCAGGATGGGTATGAGTTATTCCTGGAATATATCTGGATGGGGTTTCAGGGGTCAACACCCCCCGCGGCCCGGTCTGTAACCAGACCTTGCGGTGAATCAGGCTGTTACTGCTGGCAGCATATTAAAAATATCAAATTAACTTATTGCGCCGTTCCTTCACTCTTATAAGAACATAAGAACATAACATAAAAAAGAAGGAACACTGCCACAGGCCTACTGGCCTATGCGAGGCAGGTCCAATTCTCCCACCGGCTTAAGCCAATGGCCCACCTAGTCAGGTCACCTCCACTTAACCCTTTGTAGCGCAATGACCCACCCCCCGGATAAGCCCAATGACCCACCAGTCTGGTCACCTCCACT